AATGTATGCAATGTGTTAATTATTGAAACTGTCCTACCAATTTGATTTGAAACTGTCTCATTGCTATTTGTTTATCAATAAAATTATGGGAAAAATAAGTAAATAAATAAATAAAATAAAAAATAGTCAATTCTAGTCAGAGTTTACCAATTAAATAAAGCAGCTAAGGTCTTTAATATTCATTATTAAAGGGGGCTAGGGAGATGGCTCAGTGGAATAAGCACTTCCCTGGCAAGTGCAAGGGCCTGAGTTCAATTCCCAGTTCTGAAAAAAGAAACTTATTGTTTTAATTCAACTTTCTATATTAATTTAATGTGTACAGTACATCAGGAAAGATTTGGTTTGGGTTTGAATTTATAAGATCCATTTTATAGAAACTGATTGCTTTCTCTCTGTATATTACAGCTTTGAGCTGCTGCCACAAAGTAGAATGTTTTTGAAGTTACTGAGTGTTCCTAATAAAAATCCTAGCGTTCTGTTTTCTCCAATTAAAGATATCTGAAAATACTAAGGTAGGAAAGGATAGTCAAGTCATTCAAGCAGTTTAAATTTTTTATAATGTTGCCTATCTTTTTAATCTGTCACATTAAACAAGAAAATTTGTATCTTTGGAGATGATTACTATGTAATATAATGATCTTAGCAAAGATATCTTGTCATAAATAAAGCATAAAAATATAATGGCAAATTATATGTCATACAAAAGAAAGGCTACAATGGAGGACACCAAAAGGATCACAGAATCCTCATAAACAGTGGAAAGGCCATACTAGCTATTGGGCTTAAGCTCTTCCACTTCAAGAAACAAGAAAAAGAAAAAAAAATACATACAGGCTATCACCACTAATTTATTATGAAATCACTTGATTATTTAGTGTCATTTGAGAAATGGTTTCTGATAGTTTTATTTAAGATATCAAAACAATTTATATAAATGTTTGCAGAATTACAACCAATTCTGTAAAGAAAATTCACGTTGACTCAGTAGGCAATTTAACCATGATGACTCAATTATTAGAAATATACCTTTCTATAAAGATGGATTGTCACTTTCCTAATGAATTCGTTCAGATAGAAATTATGATTCCACTATGTATTAAATATTTAAATGGAATTTCTTTTGTCAGTTTATTCATTCTCATTATACCTTCTATTTACACATAGAAATCCCAAAAGAAAATAACAAAATATAGAAATGGTTCACTCACCAGTGGCGGCCAGGCTCAATATCACAATTCCTTGCAAAATTTCTAATCTATAAAATAATGTTTTAGAACCAAAACCGTAAGTATACTTTTTCTTTTTGAGGAGATGCTTCAGAATACTTTTTGTACTCTCCCAAAGACTGTAAATAATGCAGAACATTCCAGCAAATATATGACCTGGGAAATCTGTGGCCTACAAATATAAGAATATAAAGAAGAAAGACAGTAAATTTCTTTTTTCTTTCTTTTTGGCAGAACCGGAGATTGAACTCAGGCCCTTGGACTTGCCAAGCAAGTGCTTATCCCAGTGATCTATCTCCCCTGCTCCCAGACAGTTAACTTCTGGAACTACCCAAATCATCCTTTCTCCAGAGAGCCCACTCACTTCTGATAGTTATGGGTACATTGTACCAAAACAATATTAATACAAAATTTAATTCAGATTCATTGAGCACTTTGTACATATTAAGCATTGTGTCGTGTTCTAAATGAACTCTGTAGCCAAGTTTTTACCAGACTCAAGAATAAGAGATTAATATTCCTTTTTTTTTCTTTTTCTGTATTTAGGACAGAGTCTAGAAGGAGCAAAAGAAGAAACAAAAATGTCAATATTGCAAAAGCTAAACGACTGAAAAAGGATGGAAGAGATGAACAGGCTCTGAAAACAAAGAAAAAAGTCATTTGGGAAATTATGCAGCTTTGGAAGGACCCCATAAGGTTCCTTTGGACTTTATGGAAGTTATTACTGTCCATGTAGAAGAATCATTCTGGAATCTGACCTCAATACTGTAGTAACTTTTAGGCCTGGGCATAGATGTTTGTTGGTGACCACCAGCAGTTAGTATAAATTTGTAATGGTCATACTGGTTGAGCATCACTGATGCTGAACCCAGAATACTCCAGAATCCCAAATTTTGTGCACACAGATGTGGTGTCATGAGGGGACAACTCCACAGTTGTCCTCTGATGGGTCTCAATCACAATACAAAGGCACTAAAAACATTTTTCTAGGCTATAGGAAACATGATTGCTTCAGGATGTCATATGTGTATGCAAATATTCCAAAATGTGAAAACATCTAAAACCTTTCTGGTTCCAGGCATTTCAGAAAAGGAATATTCAACCTGTAGTACAAATTCTTTGACACTCACTTAGTGATTTGCCATTTTTTAACCTATGTTCTAAAATACAAATATCCTGTGGAAGAAAATGACTTTTTTTCTCTTTTACTTTATTATTGTTATTGTTTTTTTCATTTGTATAAAGTTTTTTTTTCCTTAATTTTATTGAGAAACAAATAGCAATGAGACAGTTTCAAACCAAGTTGGTAGGACAGTTTCAATAGTTAACACATTGCATACATTCTTCCTAGTGATTATTTGCTGAACAAGATGTGGACATGAGATCCTATTTACAAACACCATTAGAACAAATCACTGTATTCATTAAGAGAATGTAACTATATATCTATCCTAACAAATGACTTTTTGAATTCTATTCAGTAATGGTTTAAAAGAGTCCTGTACTTTTAAGAATATTAAAGTCAAATTTGCCCTCTTTGAAGCAAAAGTTTGCTTGGGCTTAAAAGACACAGTGTATTAATCACATGTTTCTTTTTAAATCATTACTTTTTGGAATCATCCTAACTTTTTTAAAGCAAAGTAATATTAACAAGTATATCTAGCTTTTCAGACAACTGGTTATGATAAAGACATTCTTCATTTTTTTAAAACCTATTTTTTAAAAAGCTATCTTGTCTTGCCTATGTATAGTACCATCTACTAGATGTAATAATTTTTGTACTTATAAACACTGCCACTTTCTTAGAGATGAGTTGTTGAGTAATGCTGATTTAAAACTTGCAGTAAAAATGCCAAGCACTGCAATACCTTGCAAGCATTTTTTTCTTAAAGTGTCCAAGATAACATTCCAAGTTAAAAATGTATTATCAGATAATTTGCTCATTACATAGATAGCACTAGTTTTTCTATTCCATCCTTTGTTTTAACTTTCATGGTAGTGATGTCCTGTACTTCTGATCAAACAGGCTGAGGTGAAGATTAACACTGTTTTTGTTTAAGGAGCTCTGAAAGAGTTAACACATAAGCCATATTGCATAAATGGTAAAGACCTAAAAGTAGGAAAAAATTGGTTGGTCATAGTAGTAATTGCACAAACAGGATAAATTATTTTAAAATAAGGATGTGCTATCGTTCTGGTGATACATTTTAAGTTAGTCATTATCCAACAGCTCTAATTTAAAAATGAAACTATGAAATAAATTTCATACTTTTTTGTTAAAAAAAAAATAATAACATGCCTGCAAGCAGGCGCAGGGACTGAGGGTTCGATCCCCAGGCCCACCATGCCAGCCTTGCCCCCAGTGCACACTGAGCTGGCAAATGAGACTGGGCTTGGTGGCGCGCGCCTGTAATCCCAGCACATGGGAGGCTGAAGCAGGAGAATCACTGCTAGTCTGATCTAGTAGTGAGACTCTGAACACCTGTAAACCCTTCCCTAAAATACAAAAAAAGGAAAAACCCTTATATGGTTTTTAATACAGAGCACAAAGTGATCTCTTAAAAAAGACAATACGCACTTCACCATACAGTTATCCTACAAGAATATTAAAGAAAAGTAATTTGAAAGTTTTACTCTGATGCTTAAATATTGAAATAATGTGAAATTACTAAACAAATTAAGTAAATAATTTCAAAATATCAAGGATCAAGCTTATGAAAGATACCATGAGCATTATCAAATATTTACATGTTCCAAGAAAACATGGATAATAGAGAAACAGCGGCAAGCAGCACTCACAAGGAACTTTGAGACACTCATCCAAATAAACAGGAGCACAACTGCATGAATAGGTAGAGGACCACAGAAAATCATAAAATCACTGGAATGAAACTTGCAAAGCCAGTAACCAAACAAAATCCAAAAATATTGGTATTTAAGTAAAATAACAAAAGTAGCATACACCAGCACTGACACAGCAATTTAGTGGGAGGGGAACCTACCTTAGGAAGAACGGAAAAAGAAAAATCTCAGTGCACTCTTAAAAAATGCAGATGAATTTTAAAACTTGGAAAAATACTGACTCTGCACACACCCATATATATTATATGATCTATAATATATAAATGATAAATGCTCATGATATCTTTCATAAGTTTGATCCTTGATATTTTGAAATTATTTACTTAATTTTTTTAGCAATTTCATATCATTTCAAAATTTAAGCATCAGAGTAAAACTTTCAAATTACTTTTCTTTAATATTCTTATAGGATAACTGTATGGCAAAGTGTGTATTGTCTTTTTAAGAGATCTATAATATAGATATATAATATATTATATAGACATAATATCTAAAATATCTATTATATATCATACATAATAGATAGATAACTCATGATGATGAGCAATTTGCCAAGTGCTGGGAAGGTAATTCCTAGCATTTTCCAGAAGAATTGAACAGCAACAAGATGAAAAGAAAACTTACAAAGGTTTCACTGTCTCACAAACTATATGAGGGAACAGAAACACCATTTTTAACATATGAACCATTTCTCTTTAGAGAGGCAGAAGACACCTTCCCCAAGAGTCAGCTCAGACCAGGAGAATGGTGACAACAATACAGAAAAAAAACTAAGATTACAAGGAACAGGAAAACATCCCAGTGGAAAACAACTCCCTCTGCCCCACTCTAAATATTTTTATATCTAAAAAATCTGTACCATTCTTTTAGTGTGTATCTGGCGAAACCCTCACAAGACACAGAGCCATGACAAGTTAGTCCCATCAGTTCTCCAGCCTCCTCTCAGACTCTGCAGAAAAACACAGTGACTTTCCCACTTCTTGAACATGCAAAGCTCGTCTCCACATGAGTCTCCTGAACTGAGTGCTTCTCACACTGGAAATGCTCTTTGCTTTTATTTTTGCTAAGGTTATGATCAAACATTACTTTCTCTATAAAAACTGTTACTATCCCCTATTTTTAATTCTCTCAGTAACATCCCCACTTTTCCTTATTTATTTTCCTTACAGTACATACTTCTTAATACACTATATAATTCTCCGACTTCATGTGTTTACTGACTTATTGTGCCCCTTCTTTGCTAGAACAAATAAATGATCTCTGAATCCTGTTCCCTGAAGGAAGATTTTTTTCTATTATTCTTCATTACTTAATCTTTGTTCTTCATACTGTGTTTAGCACATAATATATATTTTGGCATATAAATGTTGGGTAGATGAATGGATAAAGAGAGAGAGGGAAGAATAGCTACTTAAAATGGGTGGCAGCACTAGGTGTTAGCTTCCAGAGCACAAAGGGTAAACATTGCAGACAAGAACAGAAATAGCAAAACCGTTCAAATGAATGTGAAGACAGAGTTTCAGATCTTGAAGATGCTGCTGTAGCTAGTGAAAAGGTAAGAAAGGATCTCTTAAAAACAACGAGGATGCAGGAAAGAATAATCCATCACCTGCAAGAT